TTATTTTCTTTACAGTTAGAGTATGTTCGTCTGTCCATTTAGGCGGATTCTTTTTGAGTCTATCATATAAAGGTTTGGCATCTAATGCTAGATTTTCATAAAAATCTACTATATAATTTAAGAATCCTAAAAAACGTTGTAATTCTGTTTTATCTAGAATAACATCTGGGAATTTATCATCAAATTGAATAGATCGTTCAATTGGTATGATTGTACCATAATTAATATGATGTCCTAAAAATCTAATTTTTATTTGGAATAATTTTATTTTTTTAGCAGAGACAACCAATCCTGCATGTCTTATTGCATTGATAAAGACCTTAATATGTTTAAAATGTTGTTTTATATTTTCTGAAAAGACTAATACATCATCAATATATACTATCATGAATTTGTAGTATGGATTAAATACATCATTCATAATTTTTAAAAATTCTGATGGAACATTTTTTAAATCGAATGACATTACATTCCATTCATATTGTTCAAAAGGGACATTGAAAGCAGTTTTATATTTATCTTCATCTTTAATTTGGATTTGTCAATATCCTGATTTGAGATCAAATTTAGAAAAGATTGTAGCCATTGCTAATCTATCTAACAAATCTTTTTTATTTGGAATTGGGTATCTTATCCATTGGAGGACTTTGTTTAAAGGTTTATAATTAATTACTAGTCTAAGAACTCCTCGTTCTTTTTCAGCATTTTTATTTACATAGAATCCAGCACAGCTCTAAGGAGATGTACTTGGTCTAATTAATTTTTTAGCTAATATTTCTTTTTGGCATGTTTCTAATAAGGTAGAATTCATTTGAACTGGTCTTGCCTTAGTAGGTATTTTTGTTTCCTCAAATTCTGATTCATAAGGTAATCCAACCACATGTTTTTTCCTATCCCAGAAAGCATTGGGTATTTCACTACATATTTTTTGTTCTATTTGCTTTCTAATAATTTGTATTTGTTCTATTGTTTCTTTCTTATTTAACTCTTTTTTAGTACTTCTATAGTTAATTTCCTCGTTTAAGGAACACAAACATGATTCTTTATTTTTTATAGTTGTTTTAACACTATTAATTTCTTTAATTTTAGGTTTATCTATAAATTCAAATATTATTTTATTACCTGCAATTGTTGTTTCTATTCCTGTATGAGTAATTACTATGGGATATAATAATGTAAGAAATGGAACTCCTAGTGTAACTGCTTGACTGAGTCCTTTAACCATAATAAAAGGAGTAGGAAAACAATGTCCATTATTACAGACTACAACAGTAGATAATTTATATTTTATGAATAATCGACTACCATCTGCAGTATTTAATATTTGAGTTGTCTTGTCAAAATATTTTGTAGGGACTAAACCTTCACTAATATAATTCAAATCTGCACCTGAATCTATGAGAGCTAATTATTGGAAATTGTATTCATTTTGAATAATAATTTTGACAAGTACAAACCATTTTTGGGTTATAATTTTATTAAGTATATTTACGGATTTATTACTGTCTTTGGGTTCATTATCTAGAGGATCTATAACTTCTAAAGGATTTATAACTGGATCCAGTAATTGGTCAAATTCAATTTCATCTGTATTACTTATTTCATCTTTTACTTCATTTTGTAATTCTAATATTTTAATTCTACTTCTAAGTTGATTTATTTCTATTTTTACCTCATTGATTTCTCTTTTTAATTCTGCTATAGTTTTTGTTCTTTTTTATATTTTTTCTTTCTATGAGATTTGTCTTTAACTTGTTCAATATTATATCCGAATTGTTGACAGAAATCTCCTAATTCTTTGTTACTAGTCATTCTTTGCTTATCTAATTGTCTTTTAAGTTTCATATCAATGCATAAGGCTAATCCTTCAGTACATATTTCTGCTGATAATTCTCTTAATGTATAAGCAGAATATTGTATTATTCCTCCATGCTTGGTTTTCAATCTATTCTTAACTTTTTCAGCAAATAAATATGGTGGACCGGCTATAAATTTCTCTTTCTAATGGTCTAAATGACTATCTTCTCTGGTTAAGAGTCTAGAAAAGAATACGTATTTGTACCATTTATAGTGGGATAATGTTGGGCATCGTAAATTTGAGAGTAAATCCTCTGATCTGGCTTCTAATAATGCTGTACTCCCTACAAAATGAAGAGTGATGGCATAAATGAGAGTATTGACGGCATCACTTTCTGAATTGAGGACATCCTGTTGTTGTTCATTTTTAACTGTACATTGCCTACTGGTATTAAGAATTTGATTTTTTATTGTTTCAGGTAAATGAAAATCCCACCAGCCTCGTAGCTAGCCAGTGAATCCACACACTATTGCTTTAGCCACTTCCTGGTCATGATTTCCTACCATTTTGCAGGCTGAAGCATACATTGTCATATGTTTCATTGTGTCAAGGATTTGATGTTCTGACATACCATCTATATTCCAATTGACTATAGTTCTTCCTGAATAAGATGTGGTATGGGATATTAAGTCTTCTTCAAATTGGATATCTACTGGTGTAGGTCTATGATGGTAAGGTCTGGCTGTAGCAGGTTTTCATTCTTTACCATAGGCTATTCGTTGTATGTATGAATTTTGGGATTTTGTGAATGCTAATTCTTGATTTTCTTGAGTGTCTTGAATCATGGGTTCTTCTTCTTGAAGAGTTAATGTTGAAAATTCTGATAGTATTTTTTATTTTCCTTTTGAATCTTTTATGTCTAATTCAGATAATTTTGAAATAAATACAATAGAAAAGCAGTATACTACCTATAATACCATAGAAGGTACTAATATTACTAGTGTTCATCCTCCAGAACGAAGTATTATCATAAAAAGAACAAACAAAGAAGGAGAAAGCTCTCTTGTGTCAGAAACAAGAGTTACTCCTTATAAAATGACTACTGGAGAAATAGTTCATAGAACAGAATTAATTCCCCATATTATAGAACAAAATAATTATACTAATTTATTTATGCAATCAATAGGAAAACAAACTTTAAGAATAGAAAATATGATTAGACCAAACCCTATTCAAGAATATAGAATAGTATAAGCCCGACGACCTAGATTGAATCTGGGCCGATCTGACCGTCAGGACTGTATTTCGGTAATATAATTTTAATTGATATAAATCCAAATAACATGAAATTTGGAGCATTAACTCTTATCATAAAGGCGCACCTAATAAAATATTAAAGAAATAATTCTTGTAAAATAAATTAACCAAAATACCCCTGAAAAGTTTCAGGCGTATTTTGGTCAATGTATTTTATGTGAATTATTTTTTTGATATTTTTATTAGATTCCACTATTTTTGAAGAATAAACGCTCTAAATTTCAAGTGATTAGGATTTGTAAAAAAAAAAAATTAAAATTCAATTATGAAATACAACTGTGATCATTGGATTGGCCCAGATTCAATCTGAGCAGTTGGGCTTACACTGTTCCATCAGCCCATGGGGTGACATGAGCTTTAATTAATTTTGCTTTCGTTTGCATTACCACGTTAGAATTGATTTTGTTGGGATAGTTGGCATCATGGGGAATGTCTTGTAACATGCTTCAAATTATGTATATTTGTTCTGGGGCATGTA